TTGAAGCGAGGCCTGAACGATCGCGCCCCGGTCGTGCGAAGTGCGAGCGTTGAGATGCTCAAGCGATGGATCGACGCATTCGAAGGGGACGTCATCAAGTTCCTCGCCGCGCTTGACGTGGAGACAAACGAACCCGAAGCCGAGCTCGCGATGAAGGAGCTTATCGCCATCGGGCGCGTGAAGCCCATGGAGGTGTGCAAGGACGCGGATTTAGTGGCCAGAGCCCTGAAGCGCGACCTTCAAACGCAAGGACTGATGAGCCCGGAAGAGGGTTTGTTCTGGCGCGTGGTCTTGACGCACCTCGCTGAGGCATCCGCGGCCAAGGGCGCGGACTCCGCGCAAGCGGTGGGTCAAGCTCGAGAAATCGCCGTCGCCGAGGTCGGGGAGATGATCGAAGCGATGGAAGCCGCGATGCCACCGACGGCGACAGATTTACTCGCCATCGTGACGGCGCACGCGACGAGCGATGAGGGCAAGTTTGTTGCTCGCCAGCTCCTACCGCTTCTCAAGTGTGTGGATCTGAACGACGGCGCCATTCGACGAGGAGCGATCAATCTCGTCACCGAGCAGCTTCGCATCGAACCCATCGTGAGCACTCACGGCTCGTCATACGCGTGCGGTGGCGACGGGAAGTGGGAGACGTCGCTCGTCGAGTTCGCTAGACTCGTCGCCAACGACTCCACCGAATTCGCCGGCCTCGTTTTGGACGCCGCAGATTCTCTGCAAATGTGCGGCACCGCCGAGTCGCTGACGCAGGCGTTGTACATTGCCGGTTCCCTACTCGAGCGCACGACCAAGCGTCTGCCCTCTGTTGCCGCCGAAGCGGTCATGGACTCACTTATTCGACCCGCAGTGACGCACTCCACGACGGCTGTTCGCCGTGAATCCATGCGCGTGCTCGGTCTTCTCGTTGCCTCGCAGGGAGTGATCAGTCCCGAGGCTGTCGTCATCTTGCGCACGGCGTTGAGCGCCGACGCGGCTCCCGTGAGATGCATGGCGGCGCGAGCGCTTGGTGACGCGGCGCTCATTCACGGTCCGGCGGCGCTCGACCAACACCGTGTATTGGCCGATCCCGACGACGCGGACGCCACCGAGTCTCAAATCAACGCCAGTCTTCCGCTCGAGCTCGCGCTTATGAAGTGCCTGGACGAGGAGGGCAAACCCTTCGAATTCAAGTCCGACGCCTTGGATCTCGAAGACGTCGACGTCGAAGACGTTGATGCCACCAAGGCTGCTGCTGCAATCGAGGCTGAGGAGAGCGTAGGCACTGTCGCCGCGGAATCGCTCTGCAAGATCGTCCTCCGTCGTGGCGAAGGCGCTTTCGAGGCCGCCGCCGCGGTCATCTCGCGTTTGTTAGGGAGCTATTTTGCCGCCGACGCGCAGCGGAGACCGCGACTGGCGCAGTGCCTCGCCGTGTTCTTCCCGGCTCTCGCGAGCGGGCCCGAGGATCGACGCCGTTTGCTTGCTGACTGCGCCTTGCCGGCTCTCCGCGCCGCCGCGAAGATCAAGGGTCTATCGCGCGTCGCCGCGCTCCTCGTGCAGCTTCTCACAGCTTCTGAGGAACCGACCTCGGGCGGTGCCGAGCTCGCGCTTGCTCTGGCGAACGAATCCTTGGCACTGAGCACCAAGCAAACGCCATCCGGGGCGCAGGCGACGCTCGCCAAGGCGTACATCAATGGCGTCGCTCGCGTCCTCTCGCTTGTTCCCGTGAAATCGGCGCGTCTGGAAACGGACGCGGCGGAACAAGTCGAACTGAACGAAACGCTCACCAAGGCTTGGCACGCCGCCGTGCTCGCGGCTGAACGTGTCAAGGAGAAGTCGGCGGCGAAGGATTTAGCAGCAGCTGCAGAGCGACTTCGCTCGCACTGTCTCGCCGCGCCCAAGGGAACCCCGCAGGCCGAGGACGACGGAATCGTCGTCCCCACTGATAGCGACGACTTGTCTACGCAGCTCGACGACGACGTTCGAGCGGCTGTGATGGAGCATGCGATCGAACTCGCGAACGGGAATGAAGTGCCATTCGCCGGCTCAAAGGTCAAGCCGGCCAAGGAACCAAAGGCTCCCGCGGTGCCGACGCGTGAATCGCGATCGAGAGCGAGCAAAACGGCGGCCACGGATAAACTCAAAGACGATGACTTGAAGAAGCCGTTGCCAAAGATGACGCCCGAGCGAAAACGATCATCACGAAGAGGTGCGCTTCAAGATATGAACTGAAAACATCCATCGCGTATGCAATAACAACAAAATATCTCTCAACCCACTCATTCGCCATTATCGGCGCGCAGCTTCATCAGCATAACTGGCGCCGCGACTTTCACCCGAATATCTAATTGATCCAAATCGTGCCCACCCTCGACTAACCCCCACTCTTCGATTTGCGTCTCTTCCTCGACGCGCGCCGCCGCGATGGCTTCATCCACCGACAACTCACCCCTGAGCGTCTTCAAACCGATCAAAAGCGATTTCGTCGCCGCGCTCAACGCAAATGCACACGTCAGTTCCCACGGACACATCGCGTTCAAGCGCTTTCGGAGCACCTCCAAGGTCTTATCACTCGTCTCTGGGCCGAAGATGGAATCCGAAACCTCCACCTCGCCAAACTCTTTCTCCGCCCACTTCAGAATCGGTGCGTGCGTCTCCACCTGTCGCTTTGCCACCGCCTCATCCATCGATCGCACTCGTACCACGTCCGTGCGAAAGTGTTTCAGCAGCGTCTCGACGTGCAACTCGCGCGTCTCTCGCTCCCACATGTGGTCCAGAGCCGTCGCGCTCAGCTGCGTCAGCGGCATCGTAAACGGTGCCACGTGATCCGTCTGCGCGTCCCACTCCATCGCGATCGCCACCGCCAGCGCCTTCGTTCCGAACGTGTACTCATTTCTTCTCGGCGTTCGCAACAGTCGCTCGTCCAGCGTCACCCGCCACGTCCCGCTCGCGTCGTCCCGCCGCACGCTCACCTCCTCATAAAACTTCGGCGCCGTCCCGTCCGCGCGCATCGTCGCGCTCACGCGCTCCGAAGACGCCTCTCCGATCTTTGTGCCCATCTTCCGCGCGCGCGCCGCCCGCATCGCCAGGTTCGCGCTGTACGCGTCCCGCGCCGCAGCCTCAGAGTCATCATCAATCTCCGCGCGCTTCTCCTCGTCGTTCGCGCTCGTCGACAGCGCTCGCGACGTCGCGCATCGCGCCCACGGGTACGCGCGCGCGCTCGACGCCAGCGCGAGCGCGGTTCGAAGCGATCGACGGAACACGTGCGACATGAAGCGGCGATGAGTGAAGTTTCGTAAAGACAACGTCAGTCCACGGCGCTTCATGTCGGACGAATTCGTCGACGCGCGCTCGGACGCGGACTCGGCGGAAGACAACGAGTTCGTCGACGCGCAGAGCTCGTGGACGACGCAGTTCCCGCTGCACGCGGCGTGTTGGGCGAACGATGTGGAATTCATTGAAAAGTTTATGAAACGACGCGATACACGCGACGTGAACGCGCTGGACGCGTGCGGACACGCGGCGATACACGTCGCGGCGTTGCGCCGCGCGATTGGGGCGATCGGGGCGCTGGTGCGGCACGATTCGGTGGATTTGGAGCTGAGGGACGCGCGCGGGTGGACGGCGACGCGCTTGGCGGCGAGACGTCGCGCGCGCGAGTGCGTTCGGACGCTCGTCGAGGCGAATCGATCGAGAAAGACGCGCGAGATGAAGAGTGGGACGTTGGGGAGAGAACTAGGCGGGGCTTTGAGAGAGGTTGGGGATTTTGAGACGCGCGTTTCGTGGCGGTTTGGCTCGGCGGTGCTCGCGCCGCTGGTGAAGATGGTCACCCCGAGAGACACATACGACGTCACGGTGTGCGGAAGTAAGATGCGAATCGATGGCGAGCTCAGAGGGATCGATTCGGACGTGATGGGGAAGAGTGTGATCCCGAAGTGGCGTAAGGGTAGATTTAGTTTGATTTTTGATGGCGCGCGAGGCGCCGAGTCCAAGCTTTGGTTCGTCGATCATGAGTCGCGAGAAGTCGTGGACGCCACGGCGAAGCCGAACGAGGGAGCGCAGGTGAAAGTCGCCGACAATACTGTGTCATCGACTGGGACGCCGCCGGCGCTCACGGAGGATGAGATAGTCGACGCGATCACGGATGAACTTCTCGCCGAAGGTGCGAAAAAGCGCCGCGTTCGATGGGAGGATCTCGCCTTCGCCCCGGCGCGCGGGTGGATCTCCAAACGCGCGAGCGCGTGGATAAAGGGACGCAAAACGGAGATTTGGGAGGCGTCGGCGAAAGTTGTTCGGGAGACCATCGCCCCGGGCGAGGGAGTGTGTCTCGACGGAACGTACGAGGAATACGCCGACCGCGCGAGTGAATGGGGAGAGAACATCGTGAAGCGCAAGCCGCTCGGCGCATCGTCGAACGATGAGTCCGGGCTGAACGAATTTGACGACGAGGCGAAGAAGTTAGAGCGTGAGAAACGAGAGAAACGCCAAAAGTCTCGGAAAATGACGGCTCGATGTTGGCTCGTTCGCGATTTCCCGCTTAAGGCGGCGCACGCGTCTCGCATTCTGGACGTCTTGTCTCGAGCGAACAAGCACGCCGAGCGCGTGAATCGAGTGGTGAAATACTGGAGCGATAACCACAAGGATATGTTTCCGATGAAGATGCAGGTACCTCTCATGTTCACCGTGTACGCCCAAGTACACTTTAAGGATTTCCGAGCGTTGGACGAAAAGGCAAAAGCAGCGAAAATTAGTCAAGGATTCTTCGACGTCCCTTCCGACTATCGCGTGAAAACCGTCAACGAAATGCTAGCCGAGGTGGAAGAGCGCGCCGTGCGCGACCTCGAACGCATCGAAGCGCTCGAGCAAGGAGACCTCATCGACGAACCCGAAACGGAGGAGATGAGAAAGTGGCGTATCGAAATCGAGCGTCTCGCTGCCCTCGAGGCATCCGCCGACGACGAGCTGAAGATCGCCGACGACGCATCGTCCTCATCCGATGACGACGACCGCGCGCGATTCAGAGTAGACTCGAGCGATGCGCGATCGAGAGCTTAGTTTCACTCGGTTGACCACACGTTGTTGTACATCGTTACATTACGCGAGCGGCTTCACAACCTTTGGCTCCCCGTACGACCCATCAAAGTAGCGCTCCAACAAAATCGCCGCGCTCGCCGCGTCCACGCTATTCGTGGACCCGCTCGCCTCCATGCGTTCCGCCGCCTCCACGCTCGTCCTCGACTCGTCCAGCGTGTACACCGTCACCGCTCTCGCGTTCGCGTCTTCGCTCCGCGCCAACGCGTCCGCCACCTCTCCCGCGAACCGCGCACAGATCAAATCCATCCGAACCGCCCCTCGTCCGCGTCCGCGTCGATCCTTCATCCCTCGTCCCGGCTGTTTCGGCACCCCGACGACGATTCTATCGCAGCACTCCCTCGCCGCCGTCTCCGCCACCTCTCGCGCGCTCGCCCCCGTCGTCGCGCTCCCTCGATGTTCCATCGTGCGCAGCGGTCGCGGCGCCATCCCCGAGTCCGAGACCGCGAGTCCGATGCGCCGCGCGCCGTAATCCACGCCCAGCGCGCGCGCGTCGCCGCGCGCTCGCCGCGCCGCGCGCAATTCATCCTCCACCCCGTCGCCCTCGCGCGCCGCCGTCCGCGACGTGCGCGCGAGCAGGGCGTCGCGGTCGCGCCACCACGACCCGCATCGCGCGCGCGTCCGCGCATCCGCGCGCGCCGTCGTCGTCGCCGCCGTCGCCCTCGCGCGCGCGCGCATCGCGAAGTGACGCGCGCGACGACCATCTCGGGTCAACACATTCTTCTCTTACGCACATCATACGACTCACGCGTCCGACGATGTGCGCGTAAACACGCTCGACATCGCGCGCGTGCGATACATCCTTCTCTTACGTACATCATACGATCCACGCGTCCGACGATGTGCGCGTAAACACGCTCGACACGCGCGCGTGCGATACATAGTTCTCTCCCGTGATGGACTACGTCACCACTGAATACGCGAAGACCGCCCACACGTCCACCGCGCGCGCGTTTATTTAAATGGGCGACGCGTCAGGTGCGCGAGTCTCACTCTCGACGAGTCATGACTCGTCACGCGCGCGCCCGCCGAGCCGCGGCCCGCGCGCGACGTCGCCCGCGCGCGCGGCGAGAGCGCGACGACGAAT